CTGTTAACCAGAGTGAACTTATTCCAACGTAAAGAAGACATGCATATCTAATAGGAGAAAAATGGCAGCATATTATGAAAATTAATTTATTTTTAAATTCTTGTCACAAAATATTCACTTTGCCACGTTCTACACATTGGTATTTGGTACCGCTGCGCATTTTGGGCGGGAATCAAACAAGGTTTAGGGCGAAGATTAGGGTCAAAGGGTGAAGTTGGAGGTACAGGTTGGGGGTTAAGTTTAGGGATGTATGATAAGGGTTGGGGTTGATATCTCATTGTTTTATCAAATTGTTGAAATTTTAGTTGACGAAAGTCAAATAGGAAGGCTTTAAAGTGGCAGTGTGATGAACGAATGGAAGGGCATATTTGAAAAACACATCAATGTTATTTAATTATAAAACAAATAATCAACACTAATTCGGCGTGCTGTGTGATAGAAATATCATCAAGACTTTTTCGAGACCGTCTGAAATCCATTCATTGATCTGTTGGGTCCACCATAGAGGGATAAGCAATCAAAACTGGATAGGAGTCTTTTCTCGGGCACACTGGACCCGACTCACTTCTGGTGTTTCGTCACATGAAACATTTGTTTGAGATCTCGCATAGTGGCTCCGCGTTTACACCTCTTGCTTGGAATTCTCTTGCAGCTATCAAATCAACGACATGGACGGTCACGTGTGCATACTGGCCATGTTTACCGCCACACTGAAAATCAAATACGACAAAACAGACGGAGAGGTGAGTAGGTCCTGCGTGTCGTGATGTCGTTTCCTGTTGTAGCTTTTTCAACTGTCGTCAGCCATCTTCAATCTGACCTGCCACCATCTTGGGATTATCTTCCTGGCGTAACTTAGTTATTCGATTTTGTTTCAGTCGGCAGAAGCAGTCATTCCCTTCCCGGAGAGCCTGGAAGCTTATGGAGAGTGTGAGAGGTACTCCATGGACCACCGAGAGTTTTTCTTTGCTTACCCCAACAATTCGTCGTATACTCTCCGCCTGCGGTTCTCATTTAGTATTTACAAAATCAACCAAAAGCCCGTCGGCTTGTTGTTCCCGGAACTGGAGGTAGTGTGGACGTACGCGGCGCCCTTCTTCCCAGATAACGCGGAAAGACTCGGTAGGTGTTTGATTGTGTGTTACCCAAAAGACGGGACTTGGCTCATTCATGCGGCATTTTTTTTATACCTTTCTTTGAAATTTTCTCTTTTGAAGGTCGTGAGGACGGCAGGATATTTACCAGTTTTGTGAGTGAAATGTACGGTTATAGTGCGGCGTTTAAGTGTGACATTCTCACGCTGAGCGACGCTACAATAACGCTCACTCTGGAAAACATGCTCGTGCAGCCCTACGCCGATTTTGGCGGCTTTGGATACGGTAAGTCTATGATTAAGAAACCATTGTTGCAAAAAATTGGGGTTGGTTTGATTAGACTTCCCATAATCACAGTAAGACGCAGCCACAATATCGGACCAACACAGTGAATAGAAAACTCAACCTGAATATCTAGGTCGAAAAACGAACTACCTTTGTCTAGATATCTGTTTTTCACCTCATTGGAATATTGTGGTAATGTCTCCCTTGAGACACGAGCACTGGGACTCATTCACTGGATTCGAGGATTGATTGGATGTGTTCTTATTCTCCAATAATTTTCAATTGTATAGGGGACGTGTGTAACCCAACATCGCCAAGTGTCCGGCCTGTTTTTCCAACGACGACCCAGCCATTGCAGACAACCGAAATCCTGCCAAATGCTACCACCTTGGAAGCGACCTCCAACCTCTCGACGACCACCTGGCAGCCCACCTCCCCCGTCCCAGTCAGTGCTCCCACAGACCACACCGGCCTGATCGTCGGTACGGTCGTGGGCGCGGTTCTCGCCGCTCTAGTGGTTGCCGGTGCGGTGTGCCTGATCGTCAGGAGACGGCGGCCGAAGCAGATCCCGTACGGAGCCGTCATGGACACCCTGGAGACTGGTGCCTGACCGATGGCGGACCGAGGGGCCAAAGAAGGCTCCAGCTAGGCTCTCCTCACACTCCCAGCCCCCCTGGATTTTTTCTCTCTCGGTTTTGAAGAAACAGAGACGACTGTCTCTGATGAGAAAAAGATGGAAATGCGACTGAACTACTTTTACTTTGTTGTAAATAACACACCCGATTGTCTGCTTAAAATTCATCCCCGTATCTGCCAGCATCATAATAATAACTGTTCATCTGCTGAGGAACTGAAAAACTGGAATCTTGTCACGGAAATCGTGGAAGACTTTACAGCCGATATAGACCAAAGAAGGGCAGAGAGCGACTTCGAAGTGCGTTTTTGCGGTTGCGAAAGAAACACTGGCAACTTGTGAATTCTTGCACTTGAAGAAAAGTCATTTACAATCACGTACGTAAAGACGCCAGCATGTTTGCTTAATGGTTTGCAATATATGCTTATTTGAAAAGCGAAAGGTTGGGTAACATCTTTTGTGAAGGTTGTACCATTGCTTCAGTTGCAAAGAAAGTTATTTGTAATATTTTAAAATTGACAACTCAATTTCTATTCCGAAAAAA